AGAGGACGGCTACTGATGGGCTTGACCAGCCAGCTGACCCCCTGAGGTCAAACCATGGAAGCAGAGCCCACTTGTGCCTGGGTGGAGACGGTTCTTGATACAAGAGCACGGAATGGCTTCCTGCTGGGTCTCAGGACGCATGGCTTAGCCAGGCTTCAGTTAGGGCCACAGTGTGACAGGTCTTGGGTTTCAAGTTGGGATCAGCTGCACTGAAATGGCTTGGGAAACTCTTCCTCTTGGCTTCTTTCCTCATGGAGGATGGCTAAAGGAAGAGAAAGCTTAGAGCTGCTGAGCTGGTGTTGGTGCCTTAAAAATAATGATATAAACATAGCCCAGAAGTCGGCCTGTGGACTCCCTGATGGGGACCAGACAAGAAACACTGTCCTGACTTACCCTTCCACCCACGCTCTGCCCTCATCTATCACCTCAGAAGCTAAACAACTTCCTCAGATGGCCCCGTGAACGTAAGTCACAAGGGCCCTAGCTTCTAAGAAAGCTGTCCACAACTACAGCCCTCAGAAAGTACTGATTCTCCTGTTGCTTCTTCCTCTGCACTCAGAGTAGGGGGCCAAGCAGTCAGATTTGCAGACAAATGTAGCAGGTCACTGCAAGCACGCTGCCCAGCTCCTCTGAGCCGTGGTCCTCACCTACAGGTTGCAGGTCAGTCATGTCTCCCTCACAGGTGTGAGGTGGAAGTTAAACGAGATAATTCAGATTAGCTGCCGTGTCATCATTCCATTGGCTGAAGAGCATTCCCAGGTAAGGAGAAGGAAAACAAACACCACATAGGATTCTAATCCTAAACAAGGAGGGCTGTGGGCCGCAAGAGCCTTGATGATTTCATAAAACACCAGGCTTCTTTCTCTGCTCACTCTACACCAAATCTGAGCCAGACTGGTTTTGTTTGGCAACCTCGGTGACCTCCAAATTGTTTAGATTCTCACAGAGAAGCCCAGTGGACAGCTAGACCTGCTGCTGTAGGGACAAATTCAAATGCTCTGGCGTGGCTGTGACATATAGTCACAGAAATCATCACAGAGGAAGTTTCTTCAAATTCTGAGAGTCTGAGGAGCCGTGGTTCACACAGAGAGCTTCCCCCTTTGCCAAGACGGCCAGAAGAGGTAGCTTACGAATTCTTCCTTTCATGCATATTTCCACGATGGCGTCATAACGGGTAACACGTTTGGCTCTCAACCCAACAGGTAAAGACACGACAGCATTTCTGCTTCAAAGCTATTAAATTTTTGCTTCTGCTCAGGTGTCCTGACCGTCCCTGCCTGGGAATCGGATCTGGGGTAATGGGTGACCCAGCAGGCACAGAGATGACGGATTCCTGAAACATGTAGCAACGCAGGGGACAACCTGGGGCATCTGGCCTGGCAGGGAGACAAGCAGGCTGGGAGAGGCAGCCTTAAGTACACCGACCTTTGTCCCTGTTTGCTCTTGGAGAGGGCAGGCCCTGCCAAGCCTGCCCTCCTCTTCTCGGTGTGCAGTGTGTGCCTGGGACTCCTGGCTAATCAAAACGTTCCCGGGAACCTGAGAAGGCCTGACCCTGGTACATGGCAAGCAGAGACCCCTTCAGGCAGCCAAAGGGCACTCCAAAACGTGTTCAAGACGTGGCAGATATGGGGCTCAGAGGTGTGTGCGTGCTCCTGCCCCCACAAGAAATCTCTTCCCTTCTGGCTTTTTCCCATCTAGAAGGTTTATAATTAATGAGCCATCTACCCCTCCAGAAAACTCTGTCTACTCTGGGACACTGCTTTCTTCAAACCACAAAGAGGCCTAGGGGAGCATAGTATAGGACAGTAGCCCCGAATCTGAGCTCAGCAGGGCTGCCCTCCTTTTACAGAGGGGACACTCCTGTGTCTGCCCTGCTCACCACCAGTGAACTGGGCCACCCAAGGGACCCAGTTTCTTTCTTCCAGCAAGATTGGCCAGGCCTCTGGTTCCCAGGGTCAGACATTAGGACGGTACCGCACACACATCTGCTAGGAGAGCTAGGGACACTCTCTGGCCCTTTTGTGGTAAATCCTCCTGCTTCATTATATTATTTTTTCTTTCTTAATTTCCCTAAGTGATGCTCCTGGGGCTCAAGGCGGGAGGAGCCAGAAAGGCGACTTTCCTTGAGAAAAGTCTAAGGATTTTCTCTTTTAAGTGGGAAGTTAGGCCCTGCTTCCCAATCCCCTTCACCTTATGGAGGGCACTGTGCCTGCCATTCCCTTCCAGCTGGCAGGGGAGCCCATGGTCAGAGAGAAGCATCCTTCTCTTTCACAAATAAACAAATCCAATCCATGTGCTAGAGGACTTAGGGTATATTAATAGCCAGATATTTTGTTTTCCTATTCTGGTGCTTATCCCCTTCCACTAGTAGGAAAGATAAGAGAACACAAAATGTTCTTCACAAGCCACCCTCTCCCCCTCCCCCAGGGACAGGCAAGCCAGGGGCCGCAAACTCTTCTGTTTAAAGCCATTGCTGATGTACGAACTCTGAGAAAATAGACTTAAAAGTTTATATTCGGTCTCTCTTGGCTACTGTTGCTGCTCAGCAAAGAAACTCTATATTGTTTAAACCCTCCAGGCAAATGGGTTGCAAGGCAACCTTTAAACAATAGAAAATACCCCAAACTAAAAATAAAGGTCTTGAGGGATGGAAAGCATGGTGGTGCTCTGGTGAAGTGATGCCAATATCGAGGTGAAGTAAAATGTTGTCAACGAGCTGCGCAGACAGGGTGTCAACCCCTTTGCCCACCTTCACCCTTTCTGATCAAGCTTCTTATGATCAGACATATTGGGTCCCTCTTTTTATTCCCAGACTCTTCGTTCTCTTCATGGTCATGGACACTTTTGATGGGGAGGGGAGGGCTCACCAGGCCAGTGATGTCGGGCTGCCTCCTGTCCTAAAGAAAGTTCCACAGACTCTAATCAATGTGCCTCCCCACTGGCTCCTGGCCCCAAGATCCTGAGAAACCCAGGAAAGGAGAGGGGGGGGCCCGACTTCATCACCAGGGTCCCTGGCAGGTAGAAGGCAGGAGGGTGAGCTAGAGAGCAGTGTGACAGAAGCTGGGCCGGCCTGCCCAGAAGACAGAGAAGGCACCGTGAGTCAAGGAGCACCGTGGCCTCCAGAGGCTGGGATAGGCACCACATTGGATTCTCTCCCCTGGAGCCTCCAGAAGGAGCACAGCCTTGCTGACTTCTGACCTCCTGAAATTAAGAAAATACATTGGTGTTGTTTTGAGTTTGTGGTAATTTGTCACAGCAATAATAAGAAGCTGAGACAGCAGCTGAGAGCCTGAGGCTCTTTCACAAGAACGAGAAGCCTACGGTTGCTTTGGGGCACCATACTCCATCTACTCATCGAGAACCACAGGCCATGATGGCAGACCATGGTGTTTCCCTCTGCACATACTTTACCATGGACTAGCAGGCCATCAGAGGGCGCTGAATTAGCTGGGCTGATTACTCGAACAATCAAAAGAACACAAATCAGTAAAAAGGCTGTTCCTTTTATTCACCCACTGACAAGGCAGGCTGATCCATGTATTACCCCATAGAAAAGCTTTGAGCAACTGGGACACTATTTTCTACTGTCACCTGTGGCCCTGCCTCAACCAGCATCACTCAAAGAGACATCAGATCAGAAAGGAAAACTGGAAGAAAGGGGAAAAAAAAAAAACTGGAAAAAAGCACCTCTATCCTCAACTTGAGGTTGTTGGCTAGAAACAACCAAAGAGGCTCCTGGACTTCTGTCTGGAAGGAGATACTTGAGATACCTCAAGTCTCTTTCATGAGCAGGTTTGCTTTTTTCTTTTTCAGTCTTACTCCCTGATTAAATGTCTTCTAAGGGCTTGCATAAGAGAGCCCAGGACACCCTACCTCAACAACAGCAACGAGAGAGAGAGAGAGAGAGAGAGAGAGAGAGAGAGGATTTCCCTGATTTCTTGACTCCTAGAAGCATAAGCACTTGTGACTTATCTTGTGACATTTCTATGAAGCAAGAACCTTCAGTCCTATTTTATATTTGGGACCCTGAATTACAGAGAGGGCAAGCAACATGGACACAGTCACACAGCAAGTCAGAGCGATTGACCCAGAGCATAGGTCTCCTGACCCTCGATCCACACTCCTGACCCTCCATCCGCACTGCGTTCCCGTGTGGTCTCAGGCCCTGGCTAACCAGGTCAGTAGGGTGTGGCCTCTGGGTAGGTGGTCTCAGTGGAATGCGAGATATAAGACCATTAAACCTGTCATCACAAGGCAACCAACTGACACCCCAGTGGGAAGATTTTCCAGACCAGAGCTTTGAATTGCTCTGTGTGTCTGGGTTGTATGTGTGTGTGAGTTTGGAAGGTAGTCATGGGTGCAGAACAACTGCCAGGTCAAGGAGGTATTTGCAATCTACCCTGCATAAGTAAACCCACCAAGAGCTTTTTTTCTTTTTTCTAGCCATCAGTACAAATCTTTTCCTAGCTTCTCTCTCATTCATCCTTCTTCTTCTCTCTCCCTCTGCTGTTCTTCTGAGACAGCATGGAATCTAACTTCAGGGGCAAAGCTAATAGATTCCCCCAAGCTCGCTGCAAGGGGACTAAGCTGGCTTATACCAACAGGTGTTGAGGCTTCAGGGCCAGAACTCTGCCCACAAGCGCAGCACACTCTACCACGTCTACTGACCTTTCACTCGCGGGGGTTCTGCACAACCACCCTCATTTCATGACACCCACTTTTTGTGATTCTCAAAGACTTTGAAAGGGTGCCGCCCTCCTTTTTTTAAGACATTAAAAAAAAAAGGAGAATGGAGTGATTTGGTTTCAGCATTTTAAAAGTGTAATGGACTCCTAATGAGGTTGTCCTGTAAAAGTGGATGTAGGTATTAAGCTGATCTTGCTGGGTGCCCTCCCCAGGGGCCCAGAGAGGGCAGAGCCACAACATGGACCCTTAGGGGCAGAAAACAGCAGCTGGCAAAGGCAAATAAAGTCAAATGACCCTCAAAATCTGAATGGAGGGTGCTTGCTTTGGCAGCACACGTACTAAAATTGGAATGATTGAGAGAAAGTCAGTGTGGCCCCTTTGCAAGGATGACATGCAAATTCACAAATCATTTCATGTTTGGAAAAAAAAAATCAGGTTGGAAGCAGGGGACAAAACAACACCATGGGCATCCAAAGATTTCAGGATGAGTGAAAGCAAGGACTGGTGGAACATGGCACTTGGGAAGATGTGGTTAGTGCTCTTCGTGGGCTCAGGCTGGGGTTTCATTGGCCATGCCTCAACCTGATACTATTCCTAAACTAGAAGGAACCAATACCCCCAAGTCCCTTTGCCTTGTGCTGGAGATGTGCACACACAAGCATGGCAGGATGGAGAAATGGGTCTTACTGGTGAGGAGAAGTGGGAAGAGAAGACAGAGGCCCAGGGCAAAGGATCAGGTAAGAGAGGCCCCCAGGTTAACTTCTGAGAAGAAAGCTACTGAGAATCCTACAGTAATAAGGTCCACCACTTAAAGGGAGATACGTCATAAGAGATATGTAGCTGGGGCGACTGTGAATTTCCAGGTAGGGGCTGACCTCTACCCACCCTTCTGGACTTCTTGCACCAGGAACTGGGACCTCCCCACCATGGACAACTCAAAGAAGCTGCACTCACTGAGAGACCCTCTACTTAGACTCCATCACGTGTACCAACAAACAGAGGGACGGCCTGCAGGGGACTGACAAAAGGAGACCCCTCCACAACATAAATTTGATGATATTTATACAGCATTATGCAGGCAAGGGCAGGGACATGGTCTTCTGGTCAGCTTCCCAGCCACTGCAGAGCTGTATGTACATACTTGGAAGCAAAAACATCTCAGGCCTCTGCAGCTACTTTCTTGGCTCTCTGTAAGAGCTGATGATTACCATGGGTGTCTTCAATCTTTTGATAACAAGACAAGAGGTGGGGATCCCTGGGTAGCTCAGCAGTTTAGCGCCTGCCTTCGGCCCAGGTCTTGATCCTGGGGACCCCAGATTGAATCCCGCATCGGGCACCCTGCATGGAGCCTGCTTCTCCCTCTGCCTGTGTTTCTGTCTCTTTCTGTCTCTCATGAATAAAAAAAATCTTAAAGAAAAGAAAAGAAAAGAAGTATCTTAGGGGATAGATAGAAACATTCCAGGTTCTGGGACCTGGTTTCTAGATCTGCAAGACATTTTATTTATTATTTTATTTTATTTTATTTATTTTTTAAAAAGATTTATTTACTTATTCATGAGAGACACATGGAAAGAGGCGGAGACACAGCCAGAGGGAGAAGCAGGCTCCCTGTGGGAACCCCGACGTGGGACTCAATCCCAGGATCCCAGAATCACAACCTGAGCCAAAGGCAGACACTCAACCACTGAGCCACCCAGGTGTCCCTGCAAGACATTTTAATAGTAGTAATATGTGCACAACATAAAATCTACCATTTTAACTATTTTTTTTAATTTTTATTTTTTATTTATTTATGATAGTCACACACACAGAGAGAAAGAGAGGCAGAGACATATAGGCAGAGGGAGAACCAGGCTCCATGCACCGGGAGCCCGATGTGGGATTCGATCCCGGGTCTCCAGGATCGCGCCCTGGGCCAAAGGCAGGTGCCAAACTGCTGCGCCACCCAGGGATCCCCATTTTAACTATTTTTAAGTGTAAGTTCATTTGCACTGTTGGGCAACTATCACTACTATCAAAGCTCTGCAAAAATTTTTTTTGAAGATTTTTAAATTTATTTATTAGAGACAGAGAGAGGGACAGGCAGAGGGAGAAGCAGGCTCCATGCAGGGAGCACGATGTGGGACTCAATCCCTGGACTCCAGGATCATGCCCTGGGCCAAAGGCAGGCTCTAAACCGCTGAGCCACCCAGGGATCCCCAACCCAAATCCTTTTGAGCTGGAAGAGCTGGAAATCGCTACAGTGGAGTAGCAGTAGTAAAGTCTCCTGTGTGCCATAGTGACTTTTTTTTTTTAAGATTTTATTTATTTATTCATGAGAGACACACACACACAGAGGCAGAGACACAGGCAGAGGGAGAAGCAGGCTCCATGTAGAGAGCCCGATGCGGAACTCGATCCCAGGACCCCGGGATCATGCCCTGAGCCAAAGGCAGATGTTCAACCGCTGAGCCACCCAGGCATCCCTCCATAGTGACTTTCCATTCTCCATTCTATTTTGGTTTTAGGCTCCACTGTCCCTACCACCTAGCAATAATTTCTGGGCCCATCCAAATCTGAACCAGCTTCAAGAATGCCTGTTTCCAAAGTTCCCCTCCTCCAAACCTACTCATCCCTTCTGGTTTCCCTGGATGATTGCATATTTAATATTTACATGAAAAGGAAGAATTGAAAGGTTGAGGGGGAAGGTTTTCAACCTTGATGTAGGCAGTTCCATAAAAGGGAAGCCTTCCATAAATGACAAGATGGGGAAATCTCTCTGGTCTGGAGCACCTAGGAAGCTGTAAGAAAATAACTTGAGATGAACTGTTAGGGGGAACCCAAGAGAGCATAGAGGGATGAAAGAACACATGGGAAGGGTGATGAGCCCTACATGCTCTTGATGCTCACATCTTTATTTCTTTTTATCTCCAGCTCTGACCAATCCTTGGAACACATGTAGTGCCTACATGTAGCTCCCACTGTACATACAGCTCCTCTTGTGTGTCCAACAGGCACCACAAACTTCATCTAGACAAAGCAGAATTTTTCATTTGACCCACCTAAACCTAAATCTCCTTCTCTCTTATCTTTCCTAATGCAGTACATGACAAAAATCTGAAAGTCTTCCTTTCAGAATGGCTGAAACAATCCTGAAAAAGATGAACAAAGTTAGAAGACTCAAAGTTCTTGATTTCAAAACTCACCCCATAAGTCAAAGTAATTAAAACCATGTGGTACTGGCATAAGGATATATCTAGACAGATCCATGGAATAGAATTGAAAATACAGAAATAAACTGTCACAATTATGGTTAATTGATTTTCATCAAGGGTGCTAAGACAATTCAATGAGGGGCGGGGTAGGGAATGAAGGGTCTTTCATCAAATTGTGCTGGGACAAATGGGTGCACACATGCAGAATACTGAGGTTGGATCTCTTCCTTACATCATATATAACAATTAACCAAAAATGAATCATAGGCCTAAATATAAAAGCTGAAACTACTAAAGGCTCTTAGAAGAAAACAGTTGTAAATCTCTGTGCCTTTTTTAAAAAGTTTATGTTTTTTTTAAACTTTTTTTAAAATTTTTTTTTAAAATTTATTTATGATAGTCACAGAGAGAGAGAGAGAGAGAGAGAGAGAGGCAGAGACACAGGCAGAGGGAGAAGCAGGCTCCATGCACCGGGAGCCCGATGTGGGATTCGATCCTGGGTCTCCAGGATCGCGCCGTGGGCCAAAGGCAGGCGCTAAACCGCTGCGCCACCCAGGGATCCCTTTATTTATGTTTTTTAAGTAATCTCTACACCCAATGTGGGGCTTGGATTTACAACACCAAGATCAAGAGTCACATGCTAAAAAAAAAAAGAGTCACATGCTCTGCCAACTGGGCCAGTCACACACTCCAATCTTTGTGCCTTTTGGTGAGGCAAAACCTTCTTAGATTTAACACCAAAAATAAAAATGTCAAAAGAAGAAATAGATAATTGGATTTCATTGAAATTAAGACAAGTCCTTCAAAGGACACCATCAAGAAAGTGAAAAAAGGCAACCTACAAAATAGGAGAAAATATTTGTAAGTCATATATCTGACAAGGGACTTGTAATCAGAATACATAAATGACTCTTGCAACTCAACAATAACAAGACAAACCAATTTTAAAAATGGACAAAGGATCTGAATAAACATTTATCCAAAGAAGATATGGCCAATAAACACATGAAAATTAGCCACCAGAGAAATGCCAACAAAACCGCAATAATACTTCACACTTACTGGGTTGACTATAATAAAAAGATGAGCAATAACAACATCTTTTTCTCCAGCATCCTTGATGAGGATGTGGAGAAATTGGAACCTCCATACTTTTCTGGTATAAAATGATGCAGTTTTGAAAAAGTTCTCAGTGCCACAAAAAGTTAAACATAGAGTTGTCATGTGACTCAGCAGTTCTACTCTAAAGTACATGCCCAAGAGAGCTGAAAACATGTCTATACAAAAGCTTGTATATGAATGTTTACAATAGTATTGTTCATAAGAACCAAAAAGTAGAAATAACCCAAATGCCCATCAACTAATGAATGGATAAGCAAAAAGTAGTGTATCTGTACAATGGAATATTATTCAGTAATAAAAAGGAATGAAGCATGAAGTAAGTTCTGACACATGCTACAAAATGAATGACAAGGTTCTTGAGGGTATCATGCCAAATGAAACAAACCAGTCACAGAAGTACAAATATTGTATAATTCCATGTACATGAGGTACCTGGAGTAGTCAAATTCACAGAGACAAAGTAGAATCATGGTTGCCAGAAGCTGAGAAAAAGGGAGAATGGGAAACTCTTGTTTAATGGGAACGGAGTTTAGTTTTACAAGATGAAGAGAGTTCTGGAGATTAGTTGTACAACGGGACTCTACTTAAGATACCAAAATGTACATGTAAAATGATAAAGATGGTAAATTTTATGTTATATGTATTTTTCCACAATTAAAAAGGGGGATAAAGTAATGATACATTCTATAACATGGATGACCTTGAAAACATCATGCTAAAAAGCCAGACCACATGTTGTATGGTTCCATTTATATGAAATTTCAGAATAGGCAAATCTTTTTTTTTTAATTTTTATTTATTTATGATAGTCACACACACAGAGAGAGAGAGAGAGGCAGAGACACAGGCAGAGGGAGAAGCAGGCTCCATGCACCGGGAGCCCGATGTGGGATTCGATCCGGGGTCTCCAGAATCACGCCCTGGGCCAAAGGCAGGCGCCAAACCGCTGCGCCACCCAGGGATCCCAAGAATAGGCAAATCTATAGAGTAAATTAGTGGTTGCTGGGGACTGCTGGGGAAGTGGGGAGTGACTGTTAATGGGTACAGGCTTTCCTTTGGGGGTCATAAAATGTTCTCAAAGTGAATGTGAATATACTAAAAATCA